CTGGAACTCTCTAGCTTTCTCCATAATCCAGCGCATGTTTGCAATTTGGTCTCTGGTTCCTCTGCCCCTTCGATATCCAGGTTGCACTTCTGGGAGTTGTCGGTCCACATACTGCTTAAGCCTGCCTTGCAGAATTTTAAGCATAACCTTGCTAGCATGTGAAATGAGTGCAATTGTGCGGTAGTTGGAGCATTCTTTGGCACTGCCCTTCTTAGGGATTGGGATGTAGACTGATCTTCTCCAATCCTCTGGCCACTGCTGAGTCTTCCAAATTTGCTGGCATATTGAATGTAGCACCTTAACAGCATCGTCTTTTAAAATTTTAAATCGCTCAGCTGGAATATCATCACTTCCACTGGCCTTGTTATTAGCAGTGCTTTCTAAGGCCCATTTGACTTCACTCTCCAGGATGTCTAGCTCAAGGTCAGCAACCACACTACCTGGGGTGTACGAGACATCCATATCTTTCTGGTATAATTCCTCTGTGTATTCTTGCCACCTCTTATTGATGTCTTCTGCTTCTGTTAGGTCCTTACCACTTTTGTCCTTTATTATGGTAATCTTTGTACAAAATATTCCTTTCATATCTTCAATTTTCTTGAACAGATCTCTGGTTTTTCCCATTCTATTGCTTTCCTCTATTTCTTTGCAGTGCTCGTTTAAGAAGGCCTTCTTGTCTCTCCTTGCTATTTTTTGGAAATCTGCATTCAATTTCTTGTATCTTTCACTATCTCCCTCACATTTTGCTTGCCTTATCTCCCCCGCTATTTGTAAGGCCTCGATGGAAAACCACTTTGCTTTCTTGCATTTCCTTTTCATTGGGATGGTTTTAGTTGCTGCCTCCTGTATAATGTTGCGAGCCTCCATCCATAGTTCTTCAGGCACTCTGTCCACCAAATCTAAATCCTTAAACCTGTTCCTCACTTCCACTGTGTATTCATAAGGGATTTGATTTAGATTGTATCTTACCGGCCCAGTGGTTTTTCCTACTTTCTTCAGTTTAAGCTTGAATTTTGCTATAAGAAGCTGATGATTTGAGCCACAGTCGGCTCCAGGTCTTGTTTTTGATACCTGTATAGGGCTTCTTCATCTTTGGCTGCAGAGAATATAATCAATCTGATTTCAATGCTGCCCATCTGGTGATGTCCATGTGTAGAGTTGTCTCTTGTGTTGTTGGAAAAGCGTGTTTGTGATGACCAGCTTGTTCTCTTGGCAGAACTCTATTAGTCTTTGCCCTGCTTCGTTTTGAACTCCAAGGCCAAACTTACCAGTTGTTCCTTTTATCTCTTGATTCCCTACTTTAGCATTCCAATCCCCTGTAATGAGAATAACATCCTTCTTTGGTGTCATTTCTATAAGATGTTGTAAGTCTTCATAGAATTGGTCAATTTCAGTTTCTTCAGCACCAGTAGTTGGTCATAAACTTGGATTACTGTGATGTTAAAAGGTCTGCCTTGGATTAGTATCGAGATCATTCTATCATTTTTGAGATTGCATCCCAGTACAGCTTTCGCCACTCTTTTACAGCTTTCGCCACTCTTTTCAGAGACGATTAGGATGAATTATTTTCTGGCATTAGCCTATCTGTAATTGTACCATGTAGTCACACAGCATATTCTTTCTGTGAGCTGCTTAAACATGAATGAGCAGAGTTTTCAGTGCCCTAGTGATTTCACTAGTGAAATAGATTCGTTTTCTTTTTTGTTGGAATTGTCTGCATTTGGACCTTCAATATTTCAAAACTTCCATCCATCTTGGACTCCCTTCTCTTTGAGTATTTCTGACCACGGGATCTCACCTAGTAGCTCCTTAAGCTTTTTGAATTCAGACAGCAGGTGTAATAAAAATATACAATTTTTAAAAATACATGCCATGCAAACAAAGAGACTATTTTTTAAAAGGAGAACAGAGTGTGGATAGGAAAATGAGTAATTCCAAGAACAGTTCTTTCACATGGTCACAAAAGGATCTGGTGGAATGGACAATACAGGAGATAGGTTTGGGAGGTGAGGGTCAAAATGGCAACTGGCCCCAACCAGGTCAACAGAGAAGGCTTCAGTGTCTCATTTCTGCTTCTGATTCAGCCATGAAGAATGGCGGTAAATGGAGACAACCCTGGAAAGGGAGGAGCCAAATGGTTCTAACTAGGCTGTTGGAGAAGACCTCACTTAGCCTCTAACCACATAGGAATTAATGAGAGCTACAGTGAGGGGGGAAAGTATTTGATCCCCTGCTAAATTTGCCCGTTTGCCCTCTGACAAAGAAATGACCAGTCCATAATTTTAATGGTAGGTTTATTGTAGCTGTGAGAGTCATAATAACAACAGGTAAACCCCCAGAAACCCAGAAGACAAAAGTCAGAGATTGATGTGCATTATAATGAGTGAAATAAGTATCTGATCCCTTTGCAAAAGATGACTTAGTACTTGGTGGCAAAACCCTTGTTGGCAATTACAGAGGTCAGATGTTTCTTGTAGGTGGCCACCAGGTTTGCACACATCTCAGGAGGTATTTTGTCCCACTCCTCTTTGCAGATCCTCTCCAAGTCAGTACGATTTCAAGGCTGATGTGTAGCTACTCAAATCTTCAGCTCCCTCCACAGATTTTTGATGGGATTAAGGTCTGGAGACTGGCTAGGCCACTCCAGGACCTTAATGTGCTTCTTCTTGAGCTACTCCTTTAAGGGTGCCTTGGCCGTGTGTTTTGGGTCATTGTCATGCTGGAATACCCATCCTCGACACATTTTCAATGCCCTGGCTGAGGGAACGAGGTGCTCATCCAAGATTTGACAATACATGGTCCCGTCCATCGTCCCTTTGATGCGGTGGAGGTGTCCTGTCCCCTTAGCAGAAAAACACCCCCAAAGCATAATATGTCCCCCTCCGCGTTTGATGGTGGGGATGGTGTTCTTGGGGTCGTAGGCAGTATTCCTCCTCCTCCAAACACGGCGAGTTGAGTTGATGCCAAAAAACTCGATTTTGGTCTCATCTGACCACAACACCAAGAATTGGTGAAAACCCAATTCTCCTCTGGGTCATTCAGATGTGCATTGGAAAACTGCAGATGGGCCTGTACATGTGCTGTCTTGAGCAAGGGGACCTTGCGGGCTCTGCAAGCTCTCAGTCCTTCACGGCGTAGTGTGTTACCAACTGTTTTCATGGTGACTATGGTCCCAGTTGCCCTGAGATCATTGACAAGTTCCCCCCGTGTAGTTCTGGGCTGCTTCATCACCATTCTCCTGATCATTGCAACTCCACGAGATGAGATCTTGCATAGAGCCACAGACTGAGGGAGGCTGACAGTTATTTTGTGTTTATTCCATTTGCAAATTATTGCACCAACTGTTGTTACCTTCTCACCAAGCTGCTTGGCAATAGTCTTGTAGCCCAGTCCAGCCTTGTGCAGGTCTACAATCTTGTCTCTGACGTCCTTGGACAGCTCTTTGGTTTTGGTCATGGTGGCTAGTTTGGAATCTGCTGGATTGATTGCTTCTGTTGACAGGTGTCTTTTGTACAGGTACAGTAATGAGCTGGGATTACAGGTAAGAACTCTCCCTTACAGCAGGAGTTTCTAATCTTAGCTCATTACATACAGTGAAGATACCAGGTAGCCTGACATCTGGTTGGCTGATAGGGGATCAAATACTTTTTTCACTCATTATAATGCACATCAATCTCTGACTTTTGTCTTCTGGGTTTCTGAGGGTTTTCCTGTTGTTATTCCGACTCTCACAGCTACAATAAACCTACCATTAAAATTATGGACTGGTCATTTCTTTGTCAGAGGGCAAACGGGCAAATTTAGCAGGGGATCAAATACCTTTTCCAATCACTGTAGATAAATATACAAATTCAGTGAATGTGGACTGAAATCACTATCAGAAAAAAATCCCCAAATGGTGGATATGTCCATCCATTGTCTCTGAAAATTCATAATATAGCTTTCTGCAATGTTATTTTTCTAGAAAAAGAGGTGCTGGAATTCACAATGAACACCTCCCTTGTTCTCTTTAATGGCAATGGCGCCACCTGAGAGGGGCCGGAACTGAGGTCCAGTGAGTTCTGGCTGGAAAAAATCCCTGGCTTTCTGAGATCTGTTGGATTAGAATATCCTAAACACAGAGCAAGTCACTGTTTTTCTGCCTTGCTGAATCCACTATACTCAGAGAGAAAGCCGAAGATTTACAGCCTATAAAGCTGTCGCATGGGTCAGAACAGACGGCGGCTCTCATCATCATGTCAGGGCTGACTTTTTTTTAAAATTACTGTTTGATGTCAGGATTGCCTTGAAGGGAAAGGAATGACAGGCTTGGTTACAGGCCTAGCAAGTAAAGGCAGGATTATGGACTCCAAACTTTTGAAAATTCTGGTATCTCTATGGTAGTTTTTGTCACGTGAATGGTGCCACAGATCCCCTGGGTGGGCTGTGCAGATTCCCCGGGGTCCACAGACCACCGAATGGGATCCACTGCCTAAATTAAGCTATTTAGTTGTAAAAACTCTAGTGTTTAAGGCTTATCATCTTGCCCCACAAGAAATGACATATTCAATGGAATTACAGTGGTACCTCAGTTTAAGAACAGTCCTGTTTAAGAATGATTTTGTTTACAAACTCTGCAAAACCGGAAATAGCGTCTTGGTTTGAGAACTTTACCTCAGTCTAAGAACGGAATCCGAACAGTGGAAGGGCACTGGCGGCAGGAGGCCTCATTAGGGAAAGTGCGCCTCAGTTTAAGAACAGTTTCAGTTTAAGAACGGACTTCCGGAATGGACTAAGTTCGTATACCGAGGTGCCACTGTATGCCTAAAAAAGACTGGTTTTTTTACATTGCCTAACTGTCGCTATTGGCAATCGCCACTTTCTTCTGAAAGGCTACTAGTAGGCCAGAGTGATTATTAGTTATATCCTGCAGAATAAGACTACAGCTAATGGAAGAAAATATGATCCAATGAAGGTATGAGTTTACATCACCACCTCCACTATTAAATATATAAAAAAATTGTCCAGTAGCACCTTAGAGACCAGCTAAGTTTGCATGCACATGAAAGCTCATACCAGGAACAAACTTAGTTGGTCTCTAAGGTGCTACTGGACAATTTAAAAAAAAGTTTTAAAATATATTTCTACTGCGTCAGACCAACACGGCTACCTACCTGAATCTATCTGCCATTAAAGTTATTTATGCACCAGCTGATTTTAGTGTTAGTTTGTTTAAAGAAACAAGAGTATGCCCATTTCATATAAAATTCAATTTTCAGTTACTTAGTACCTTGTAAATGTCTAAAACGTAACCAAAATGCATCCCGTTCTGTGAGCATCTTTTACAACAGTAGTGTAAACACGGGAGGTTGGATCCCAAGAAAGTAACTTTATGATCCCACCCAGTTTTGGGTATAAATGAGATATGAAGAGGTCTCTCTTAACGAAATGCTTCCATCAGATGTGCTGATGATACCCAAAGTGTTCCACTGCAGTTCCGCACTGAACTGCTCATTAAATCTAACAGCAAATTATTCTGAATATTTATTCACATTCCTTCCAAAAGATTATTGTTTTCCAATCAATATTTTAAATTTAGAGAAATGTAGTTTAAAATCTTTTCCCAAGCCACTAATTCTGAGTCAGTCTGTATCAAATACACAATTCAGAACAATAACATTTGTGCATTGCATTTCCAGAGACTTGGAGCTGTAAGGCTGACAAAAAAGAGTAAAACACAAGGCAGATGTTTTATGTTGAAGGACTATGTTGTCAGATTAATGATTTGGGGCATTGTGGGACAAATGAACCGTGCCAACCACATTTGCATCCCGTCATGCAAGTTCATGTGTCCAAGTACTTCAATCTGCAAAGATTTGCCCAATTACAAAATATTTGTAATGGATATGCAAAGGCTTATTTCTTTTAAAATTCCCAGTACAGTAATGTGGGGGAAGCCAGCTCATCTGTCATTCATGTTAATTTAATTATCAGACCACATTCAATATAAAATGCAAATGAGTTCAACAGTTGATAGCACATACTAATTGTGTTCATTAATTAGATCAGATAGCAAGGAGAAAACCAAAAGTGCCACAAGTTGCAAGAGGGTTGTTAATTAAAGACAACATTTTGAATTAGAAACTGTAATCCCACAGTAAGCCCCTGATTGGCTTACCCAAAGGAAGGAGCATTACTCTTATTGCTCCGGTTTCGCTTGTACACCCATCCATGGTATCGTGGGACCTGTTAAGCCAACAGAATTAATGGTGGCTAATAAAGTGTGGGGATTCTGCCAGATTTGCAGGTGGCAGTGTGAAGAATGCGGAGGAAATCCTGGCCACCAAACAGCTGACTTGGGGGCAAACAGAGGCTGAACCTTCCCTTTCTCTCTGAAACAACTATGTGTGCATCTGTGTGTGTGTGTGTGTGTGTGTGTGTGTGTGCGCACAAGCGTGCAAAGTTCTGGGGCTCAGAATCTGCTATGAGCTGCCCTCCATAGTTGGAGCAGGGCGGGGGGATAGTACATGTTTTGCATGCAGAAGGTCCCAGGGTAGTCTCTGGCATCCCCAGGCAGGGCTGAGAAAGGCCTCTGTCTGAAACTTTGGAGAGCTCTGTGGGCAATCAGGGTAGCTAATCCTGAGCAAGCTGGCCCAGTGGTCTGGCTCGCTATGAGGCAGCTTCCCATGTTCCATTTTGGAGGGGGAGGACTTGGTCTTCTGACCCCTTTAAGGCGATGAGTAAGGAAGAAGGGGAGGAGGATGCTCAGAGTCCTTTTCAGAGCCTTGGCCAAAAAAGGGAGAAAGGATTGGCACTCTAAAAATGAAAGCGCTGCTAAAATCCCCCCTCCCAAATCTGCCTTCCCACTCTGAAATGTACTCAAGGCTACTGAGGAAACAATCAAATCCAGACCTCTATTAATAAATATATATGGAACTATACATCTACCTGTAAACCGTGATCCTCTGATTAAGGGCTGTGCATAAATAAATAAAAATAATTAAAATACATACATGTCTACTGAGGGTGAGAAGTTCACACAACAAAAATCTCTGCAAAGGGGGCACAGTTTTCCAAAACATGACAACATATGTCCATGCAGCTCTTATAACCAACCATAGATGGAGTCACCAAGTGATTTTTTTAGATCTGCATCTTGCCCTTATTGCCCCAATGCTGCTGAAACATCAGAAAAGAGAAGCTTCCCATCCAGACACTAGCAAGGTCCAGATCTGTTTAGCTTCTTAAATGCAGCTATGAAGCACCTAAGGATCTATTTTATTTTATTTACTATTACATTTATACCACAACTTTCCTTCAAGGTGCTCAAGGTGGCGTCTGTGGTTCTCCTCCTCCTCATTCAATCCCCCCATTGACCCTGTGAGGTAAGTTACGCTGAGAGACTGCAAGTGGCCCAAGGTCATCCAGTGACCTTCATGGCTAAGTGGGGATTTGAACTCTGTGCTCTCCCAGGTCTTTACATCACACTGGCTCATGGCCTCAGCCCCTCACGCTATACAGACTGCAAAGCCTTGCAGCGATACAGCCTCTAGCACTCTGAGACAAAACACAGCCTCAGACTCTGCCTCTTGGCTGCACTCACAAAGGCCATCTGCCATGGTGGCACAATGCCTGCTCGCAAGGTGGTCAGACCTTTGCCTCGGGGCACAAGTGTCAGCAGTGATGGGCACAGAATGGACTTGTCTTGGGAATCTCTGCTGTCTGCTGTTCCTGGCACGCTCGCACGGCCCAGCCCTTTCTAATGAGCCACATCTGTCGCTAAATTTCTGCCAAAAATAAAATAAAAAAGTTAACCTGTAAGAGGAATTTTGGCACTTCTGTATGCCAACCAGGCCACTTTTATTTTGCAATGGGAATTCAAAGAGTGCAGTCCTGCCTCTTGGGAATTCAGCATGAATGCATAACAAAAATACGGTCAGAAGGGCGTGTGGAAGGCGTGGCAGAGGCCTGTTTCTGGATCCTGCTTCCCTGGAGTTAAATGATGCTCCATATTCCAAAATGCTGCTTTTAGCTCTGGAGTCAACATTCTGAAGGACTGGTGCCAGAGAAGGCAAAGAGTCTCAACTTCTAGTGATTGTCATGCTAAAAGGATGGCGATGGGCTATAGATCTTGAGCTGGGTGAAAGAGAAGTTCCCAGGTACATTCCTCCACATTCTCAGGTATTATTTACTGATTGATTTATATACTGCCCTTCATCTGAAGGTCACAGGGTGGTTTACAACACAAAAGCGCAAAATGCATATAATAATGCCACCTCCCAATATACATTTAAAATGCCATTGATTAATTAACAGCCCAAGACTTGGTTGAAAAGGAATATTTTCACCTGGTGCCTAAAGATATGCAATGATGTGATGCCCAGAGAGCCTCCCTGGGGAGATCACTCCACCAATGGGGACCCACTGCAGAAAAGGCCCCTTCTTGTGTTGCCACCTTCTGGACCTCTTGTGGAAGGGGCACGCGAAGGAGGGCCTCACATTATGATCACAGAATCTGGGTGGGTTCCTATGGGGAGAGGCGATCCTTGAAGCATTGCAGTCCTGGGCCACTACTACTACTACTAATAATAATTTATTATTTATACCCCGCCCATCTAGCTGGGTTTCCCCAGCTACTCTGGGTGGCTTCCAACTGAATATTAAAAACAGTACAGCATCAGACATTAAAAACTTCCCTAAAGAGGGCTGCCTTCAGTTGTCTTTTAAAAGTAAAATAGTTGTTTATTGCCTTGACATCTGCTGGGAGGGCATTCCACAGGGCAGGCGCCACTACCGAGAAGGCCCTCTGTCTGGTTCCCTGTAACCTTACTTCTCGCAATGAGGGAACCGCCAGAAGGCCCTCGGCGCTGGATCTCACTGGCTGAACGATGGGAGTGGAGATGCTCCTTCAGGATACAGGACCGAGGCCGTTTAGGGCTTTCAAGGTCAGCACCAACACTTTGAATTGTGCTCGGAAACGTACTGGGAGCCACTGCAGATCTCTCAGAACCGGTGTTATGTGGTCCCGGCAGCCACTCCCAGTCACCAGTCTAGCTGCCGCATTCTGGATTAATTGCAGTTTCCGGGTCACCTTCAAAGGTAGCCCCACATAGAGCGCGTTGCAGTAGTCCAAGCGGGAGATAACCAGAGCATGCACCACTCTGGCACCACTCTGTCTGCGGGCAGGTGTCTGCGGGCAGGTAGGGTCTTAGCCTGCGTACCAGGTGGAGCTGGTAGACAGCTGCCCTGGACACAGAATTAACCTGTGCCTCTATGGACAGCTGTGAGTCCAAAATGACTCCCAGGCTGCGCACCTGGTCCTTCAGGGGCACAGTTATCCCATTCAGGACCAGGGAATCCCCCACACCCACCCGCCCCCTGTCCCCCAAAAACAGTACTTCTGTCTTGTCAGGATTCAACCTCAATCTGTTAGCCGCCATCCATCCTCTAACCGCCTCCAGGCACTCACACAGGACCTTCACTGCCTTCACTGGTTCTGATTTAAAGGAGAGGTAGAGCTGGGTGTCATCTGCATACTGATGAACACCCAGCCCAAACCCCCTGATGATCTCTCCCAGCGGCTTCATATAGATATTAAAAAGCATGGGGGAGAGGACGGAACCCTGAGGCACCCCACAAGTGAGAGCCCAGGGGTCTGAACACTCATCCCCCACCACCACTTTCTGAACACAGCCCAGGAGAAAGGAGCGGAACCACTGTATAACAGTGCCCCCAGCTCCCAGACCCTCTAGATGGCCCAGAAGGATGTTATGGTCGATGGTGTTAAAGGCCGCTGAGAGATCCAGCAGAACTAGGAAACAGCTCTCACCTTTGTTCCTAGCCCGCCGGAGATCATCAACCAGTGCGACCAAAGCAGTTTCAGTCCCATGGTGAAGCCTGAATCCCGATTGGAAGGGATCCAAATGGTCCGCATCCTCCAGGCGTGCTTGGAGTTGTTTGGCAACCACCCGCTCAATCACCTTGCCCAAGAATGGTAAATTTGAGACTGGGCGATAGTTGGCCAAATTGGCTGGGTCTAAATATGTTTTTTTAAGAAGCAGTTTAATGACCGCCTCTTTCAGCGGGTCTGGGAAGGCTCCCTCACAGAGGGAGGCA